TGATATCTTTTATTTGACCTGAGCAAGGGCACTTGATGGCCAAAAGTTTGTCCAACAACTCTCCGAACTGTACGTTGGTCCAATACAAGACATTATGTGGGGCAAGAATTTTCTATTGTATGTCCTAGAAAAATTCCTCTCCTCTCTCACTTCTGCCATGCTCCTGAACAGAAATTTGAAATTGTGGATATGAGTGATGTTGATTTGATAATTAGTTAGTAGAGGGGGAAGCAGGTTTTACTAGGATCTGTCTGTGCTCTACATCTTTCCATCTTTGAAAGAGGGTGATATATGCTGGTGGGGAGGGGTGGGGGTTCAGCGCAAAAGAGTAGCATGAAAGAACAAAATAGGAAGATCAGATGAAGGCAGCTGGAAGACAGTTTTCATATTCTTTGTGAGAGAGCAGCCTTGCCAGCCACAATTTCCTGTTCATTTAACTGTCTCTTTTCATCACACTGGCACATGCAAGCAAAGCCAACAGCTGTTGTCAAACAAAAGAAATGAACATCTCACTCAAATGTGGTGTTGGGGTATAAAAAGAGGTACATGGAGGCTGCAGCATTCCCAGGGTCCAGCTTCCAGAGCAAAGCACCAGGGAAGTCGGTGCAGAGGGTCATCACTCTACTCTGCATAAATGCAAAGGATAACAAGAACTTCCAGGAGCACTTGCAGTAAGGATGGCTGTTCCTTGAGCAATCTTAATCATGTCCCTATAATTGTAATGAGATGGGCCATCTTATTACAGTCCAGTGCTCTGGCAATGCTGGCAAAGGAGGAACAAGAGAGGGAATTGCTGAGCCCATGGGCCAGATCCCACTTCTAGAGCCATGTCATGATCTTGCCTGCAGCCAGACTGGCAGGTGGCATGGGGTTAGATCCAGTAGGCATAGGACAGATTGGGGCTGGACCTGGTAAGTGGGTGCTGGATCATGGCAGTGGGTGGCAGGCGATGCAGCCCATGGACTGACCCTGTGTGGAATCTAGGCAGCTGCAGATCGACCCCACACCTTGTGTCCAGTCTGCAGGGCCAGAAGGGTAGGTGTCACTGTGCTAATGTATTGCCAATCCATGCAAAGCACTTGGCACCTATATAAAACTAACTAGCTGGCTGCCAGCTCTCCAGTGCAGCGTAAGCAGAGAGATCACACTGGTGGTTTATGAATCACCTGGACTGAAGCATGTTGTGTGTACTGAAAAGCACTGTTGATGTTACTGGCTTGTTTCACTAGATGGCACTGACGTAAAGTCTTTAGCAATGAAGTACAAGACTTCAAGAGCGGGTGGAGATGTTAGGGACTGAGAGTAAGCTGGGAATAGCTTTGAGCAGGGTCACTCTGCAGTGACCTGCTCTTTGGCCTGGATGATGTGACAGCTCCTTGATCCTTCCTGTTAAAGGCAAAGGGATGCAGCGACTTGTTCCCCTTCTCATGGGATGGGCACTTGGAGAGTGTTGGGACAGAGATGATGAGAAATTCTGTTCCAGGTACACACAGGGTTGTAAAGCAACATACGGGATGGAGGGACTGCAGGAGTGCATGTCTGTGGGTATGTCTACACATGCACATTTACTGCGCAGTAACTAAAATTACTGCGCAATACAAGCATGTGTCTACACGTGCATGCCCTTACTGCACAGTAAATATAGCAACTTACTCAGACTTGAGCGTAAATTTGATACCAGCAGGTATCATCAAGCAGGTATCAAATTTACACCTGATTAGTTACTGCGCAGTAACACACATGTAGATGCCTTACTGCACAGTAACACTGTGTGTGTGTGTGTGTGTGTGTGTGTGTGTGTGTGTGTGTACTGACTTGGGACTAACTTTAGTCTTAAGTCAGTCCACACACAGCGTTACTGTGCTTTAATGCCTGCACATGTAGATGCTGGCCTACTCCTGCTCACTGCGCTGTAAATTTAAGCCAGCGTAAATGCATGTGTGCAAATTCCTATGGTCTCCGCACAGCAGAGCAGCAGCAAATGAGTAGCAGGTTTTCATCTGTGTTGTACCGAGATCTCTCTTTTTTTGTATTGGATCTCTCCCAAAGCAGCTCCTAACCTATAAAACAGGGGTCCAGACAGGCCCCTTTTGTGGAAAGGGCATGGTGGTTGTGTCCCCACTACTGAGAATACCTGGTCTGGAAGCAGTACTGTAATGATGAGTAGGCTAGCCAGTCATGAGCCCCAGGCACAACCTAAAAGAGGGCACCAGAATGGAGCTAGGGGGTGCCTCAGCCTCCCATCCCTTGCCCCCTGCATTTTCTCTGCAGTAGCTTTGGCTCTGGCAAGGTAGAGCAGCGTGCAGAGGTTCACTGCTGCAATGAGGGTGGGGAGATTTCACCTCCTTTTTTGTCCTTGAAAATTGGTGTTTAAAAGGCCACTCAACATGTGCGGGCTGCAAAAAAAAAATAAAATAAAATAGAGGGACGTCTCCCTTCACAGCAGCACACCTCTGGCTGTAGCTCCTGCAATGTATACTGCCACCATCCTAGTTACAGTCACCATTAGTGATGCCCCTGGCTGGGGGAGACGAAAGACTTTTATCATCATTACAGTTTCAATTTTATTACCCTGCTGCGTTGTTTTTTTGGAGTCTTGTTAAATGTTTTCCCCTTACCTTAAACTGCTTTGTTCAAAGGCTTGTTATGGCAGACACCCCTGTTGCAGGGCTTTTCAGGATACAAAATGGAAACATCCTTGACATTCTTCTGGGAACTCATCATAGTTGCCTGCCTCAAACAGCTAATGCCTGGGAAGTTCCTGACATGGATGATGGTCTTGAAGGGTTGGTTATTCACATTTACTTCTGGAAAGAATGGCCATTAGTTAATTATTTTGAAAGTGCATTACCAGTTGTGCATGGCAAACCTCTAACTCTGAGAGCAGCATAGCTCAGCAAGCAGCTATTTCATTCTCAGGCATCTTCAACCTCTGAGTACTTCTGGAGGGTACCAGGAGGGTATGAGTAGCCTATGCTGGCATAGATTCATAGATTTCTAGAGTCAGAAGAGACCTGGTAGATCATCGAGTCTGACCCCCTGCTCCAGGCAGGAAAGAGCACTGGGGTTAAGTAACCCCAGCCAGATGCCTGTCTAATCTCCTCTTGAATACCTCCAAGGTAGGGGAAGCACCACCTCCCTTGGAAGCCCATTCCATATTTTGGCAACCCTTACCATGGCCAAGTTGCTATTGGTTCTCCAAATTGATGCTGAAAGCAAGTGTGAATTGGGTATGACTGAATTCTCCCCCGACTATTCCTCTCTCACTTGCAGTATCCAGCATTTAACGTCTAGGAAATTCTGATTCAGAGCCTGTGTCCCTAACACCTCTGCTCAACAGCTGCTGTGTTGATGCCCCTTTAATCTAAGAATTTATTCAATGCCTTTCTGAATCTGGCTAAAGTCAGCTTCCACACTATCTGGTGGCAACAAATTCCATACTTTAATTACACCTGATATGAAAAAAACTTTCTTTCGTTAGTTTTAAATATGCTGCCTACTAGTTTCATTTTGTGACCCAGAGTTCTTGGCTTGTGAGAGATAAGAAGAACTCCCTATTTACTTTCTCTTCATCATTTAATATTTTGTAAACCATTATTATGTCCCCCCTCAAACATCTCTGCTAAACTGGATAGGCCACTTTAGTCTCTCCTTATACAGAGCCCTCCGCATCACTAATCATCCTTGGAGTCCTTCTCTGGACCTTCTCTCATTCTTCTCTATCTTTTGTGAGCTGTGGTGGACACCAGAACTGGGCACAGCATTCAAAGTGTGGATGCACCATGGAGTTATAAAGGGTAATAATGATACTTTCTGTTTTGTTCCCTTCTTCTTAATACAATACAATTCCCTTCTTCTTAATAATCCCTAACTTTTTGTTTGCCTTTTGATGGCTGCTGAACACTGAGCAGATGTTTGTAGTGAGCTATCCACAATGATTCCCAGATCTGTTCCTTGTGTGGTAACAGCTAATGTAAAGCCTATCTTAATGTCGGTATATCTGGGGCTATTTTTGTCCAGGTGCACCACTTCACACTTATCTACACTGAATTTCATCTGCCAGTTAGTTGCCCATTCACACAATGCTGCCATATCCTTCTGTAGTTCCCCACAGTCTGTCTCACAGCTCCTTTAATGCTAGCTTAGATATGTCCACATTAGCTGCAATCCCACCATCAAATTACAATATAGACATAGCCTCAGAGTAAATGCATTATATATCTTCTTTGCCTGTATCTTAGTGAGCAATTTTTCCACTGTGAAATGAAGTAGCCCCCGTTTCACAGATATATAGAGAGCTGTGCCCTCTACTGGTGTCAGTTAATATACCCTATACACTATTGTGTATTAATATAGAAATAGCTGAATCAAGGTGATAGGATATGTTTGTCTCAGGCAGTTCCAATAAGTAGAAGTACCCCCAAAACACAGGCTTTTCTTAACTAGTATCACACACATGCTCAGGGAGCAGCTGCTTCATTTCTATAGCAGCAGAACATGGGATCCACTGCAGATCTGCTTGCTTTAGTGTGGAGCAGTCAATAGGGTCATTGACACCAGGGTAGGCAGAGGTCGGGGTCAAAGGCAGCCCCTATCTATAATCTCTGGTGCTCAAGGCACAGACCAGATCAAGCCTTGGAGGGATGCGCTCCCAGGATGGGTAAACATTTGCTTTGTGTATAATGTAAAGTTAAGGCATCGGATGCCCCTTTAGATTATTAAATAAAGGTCCATTCCTCCCCTCCCTTCTTGCAATGGAGAGAAGGAACCACCTGACTCTGCTCATGGGGAATGGAGCAGCTGCCAGGATTTGAAGTATTTCAAGGCTTTTACATGCGGCTGCCCGGCTTCTCCTACTTCGTTCCCCTCCTCCCAGTTCATTCCTGCATGCCTATGGAGATGTTGCATTGACCTTTCCCTGCCATTACAGTAGGCAGTGAGTGATTGGGAGGCGGGTATGAGAGCAAGGCAACAGCAGCCTGTTGTGAGTTAGCTCCTATCCTTGAGAGGGACTCTGTTAGTATAAGAGCAATGCTCTTGGAGCTGGGGTGAGTCCAGAGGACTTTTCCCCAACGAGGTGGTGCACTTGTTCCCTTCCTCGTCTGGCCATGTTAGCCAGGAGTAGCTCCCGCTGGCTGGCTCCAGGGAACCCTGGGATGCTCTCTCCTGCTTCCTCCCAGTTTCCTGGCTACCGCAGGGCTCATGCAGTCAAGGGGGAGCTGTACTCCCCCTCTTTTCAAAGGAAGGGGACCAGGCCTTTTAATGAAGTCCCAGGCAACTGGAAAACTGGCTGGTTCAACCTCTACCACTTCTGGCAGGAAGGTGGCTTCCACAATGTCCACAACATCATGGCCCGGCAGTTTCAGAAGTTTGGACCCATTTACAGGTAAGAAGCCAGGGGGTCGCCCCTTCTGGTCTCTGCCATTCTCTCCCCCTGTGGCTCCGAATGTCCCCACAAAAACTAGCCCAATGTTGTGAAGGAAAAGCTGGGTGTTGCAAAGTGTGTTGGCAGGGCATTGAGAGGCAGCATGGTCTAATGGACATAATGCAAGGCTGGGAGTTGAGCATGCCAAGTGGAAACATCTTATTGAATTTTAGATGCACTTCCATCCCACACAGACCCAGCTTCAGCACTAGTGAGGGGTGGAGAAAGCACTGACCTTGCTTTTATTCCCAGCTCTGCTATGGAGCCTCAGGGCAACCCTGGGCAAATCACTTGCCTTCTCTCTCTGCTACTGTTCCATCATTTACCCTCTGTCTGCTTCAACAACATGTAGGGACTCTCGGTTGCTGTTGGTATGTAGAGTACCTAGCACTAAGGGGTCCTGGTTTTCAGATGCAGTCAATCGGGGCTACAGTGATATAATAGGATTAGGCACATAAGGTCCTGCAGCAGTGTCTGTACAGGATCATGGAGGTGTGGTGGTGAAAGGGAGTCTCTGCTGGTGTCTTATGTCTATGACTATCCTTGTCTCTATGAAGTTTTATGTGTTTAGGACTGCTGACATGTCCTCCCTCCCTGCCTGGCTCTTAATTACCCCAGATTTATAAACACAGACACCTACCCCTACTATACCCAGGGCCAGGCTGTGTGCTGGATCCTGACCTAGTGAAGCACTGTGGGCTCCACAGGTATCGTGGAGTTTGGATGATGGCAGCAGCTTAGGGATAGGGCTTTATTTTTGTGCAGAGGTTCTGCCACCTCTGGTGTCTTACCCTGGGTTTGTGTTGCAAGAAAACCTCACTGGGCCAAATTCAGCCCTGGAGTAACATCATTGGATTTACACCAGGGATGAATTTGACCCCCTGCCTTGTATGTCTGTCAGACTGGGTTTAGTTCAGTCTATGTGGACCCAATTCTGAAGTTTTTTTTTTCCCCAAGGATAAATGCCCATTGGACTCTAGGTATTCAGCTTAAGTGGTCCATTTTCCATGGGGGTCCACAGACTATGTCTAAGGGGTCCACAAAAGATGATCACGATCAATCAAAAGTCTGTGAATACTCACACTTACAATTCAAAAGGGTCTTCACCTTCATGCAAAATTTTTTAGGGGTCCACAAATGAAAAAGGTTGAAAACCACTGGTCTATACCATTAACACACTCATGACTCTTGCTTTGTGTGCTCAGACTTATGCATGAAAGGATGTTGCTGCCACAACATCCTCCGTAGCCTATTTGTGGAGACTCCTGAGGTATCGGGGCATGGGGGGCATTGACAGTGACTGCATTGTTCCAGTGTTATCACTGATCACCTGAAAAGACGGGTGATCCCAGTTTTCTTCTAGGCTGTTTTCTTGTCTGAGCATCCTGATGTCCTGTTGAACTTTGCAGGGAGAAGCTTGGCATCTATGAGAGCGTGAATATCATTAACCCTGAAGATGCTGCCACTCTCTTTAAATCAGAAGGCATGTTCCCAGAGAGGTTCACCGTGTCCCCCTGGGTGGCCTACCGAGACCATCGCAATAAGCCGTATGGTGTGCTTCTCAAGTGAGTAAGGGTTTGCTTTCCTTTGAGCGCAAACAATGCCACCCACAGCACATCTTATTGTGAACTTAGGGATTCAGGGGAGCCCAGACTGACAATGATTTTTGATGGGTCATGAACATTATTTTTTCCCATGCAACTTGCTGATTTTTTCTGTGGACATGAGAGGGGTGCATCACTCCCACCTCAAATATAACAATTGGAAGCAGCCACAATCCTAAATTCAGTAGCCACCAAATTGATATGTTGGTAGACATCAGGTAGAGAAGGTCCCAACCTTAAGCATTGGTCCTGAGCCTGGACATTTTTGTGGTTGCTACCAGGTACAAGAGACATGTCTGGGCCCATTATGCAGTGTCTCCTCTTCTGAAGCTTGGTTCATGATACGTATGAAAGGACCAAGCCTCCTTGTGGTTTAGGAAATAGAGAAATAGTAGGGGAGGAAGGTCCCCTACTGAGGACACTGGCAGCTGAGCTCACCTTCACGTGGTGATTGGAAGCACCTTTGTGCCTCCAGAGCAACAGCAGGGGGCAAATGGGGTTGACTCATCCTTGAGGCTTTGTTGAGGTTTTCTAACAGTGGAAGGACAGGGCTGGGCTCTTATCTGGATCCTGTTTTAGCTTGACACAACTGAAAATATTTCTCAGTCCCCACCATGTAGGGTTGATGCAACATGGCTCCCAGTTGCTAGTATAACCAACAAGAAACTGGTGGGTTGGCCTAGTGTGCATGACTTTGAGGGTAAGAAAAGGAATCCCCATGGGAGCAGACCCGCTGAAGCATGGCAGCTGGGCAAGCATCGGGGGGAGAACCAGAGGGCATTGGTCTGCATGGCTTCATAAGTGAGGAGTGGGCTGGGCTGAACAAAGAGAGCACTATGGTGCACTTCGATGGGAGAGGGCACATGGAGGAATTGGTTTGTGTTATTCCTGACATTAAAGGGATCAAAACATTCCCAGAGGACAGAACCACCTGGATGCTTTTCCCTTTGTTTTCCAGGAATGGGGAGGCTTGGCGCTTCGACCGCCTGATCCTGAACAAGGAGGTCCTGTCCCCACAGGTGATGGCCAACTTTGTGCCCCTCCTGAATGAAGTGGGAGAGGACTTTGTCCGGAGGGTCAGGGTCCAGATTGAGAAGAGTGGCCGGGGGAAGTGGACGGCTGACTTCACTAACGAGCTGTTCCGCTTCGCTCTGGAGTGTGAGTGAGCTGGCGTCTGGCTGCGGGGTTCCCATAGGGGCGGGGTGGGCTGGGGAGGAGCAGAGAGAGGCCTCTACATAGCTCAGGTATGAGAGAACAGGGGCTTTGAGGGTGGGTGTGAGCCCAGATTCAACCCCTCATCTCCCCACCCCCTTTGGACTGGTTCTCTTGCTTCTGCAGCGGTGTGCCACGTCCTGTATGGAGAGCGCTTGGGGCTCCTGCAGGACTTCGTTGACCCTGAGGCCCAGCGATTCATCGATGCGGTGAGCATGATGTTCCACACCACCTCGCCCATGCTCTACATCCCAGTCAAGCTGTTCCACTGGATCAACTCCAAGACCTGGCAGGACCACGTGAAGGCCTGGGATGTAATTTTTATGCAAGGTGAGAGTTCTTGCTCACTGCCTCACTAACCCCTGCCATCTGAGGGAGACGCTGGTGGGTAAAATGTGAGCATTTCAGGCTGCTGTGCAGAAGATCTGAGGTCAGGTCTCAAACCTGGTAGTTTGACTCCTGAGCCGAAGAAACTTGAGGGCATCCTGGAGGAAAGGAGATGGATTTGCAATGAGCCTACCTCCTGCTAGGTCTAGCAGAGGGTGGCTCTGGAAAGGTGCTTGCTTCTGCTGACTAGCCTGGCAGCTCCAAGGCATTGACAGAGTTTGCTAGGTGGTGGATAGCAGGGATAGCTGTGCTGGAGGAGCTGCTAGGGTTCCCTGTCACCGTGATCTGGAGCAGAACCAGGAGGACCAGGGTGTCCTGTACCAAGCGCCTATTACTAGAGCTAGGATGGTAACTTCTTTGTCCATGGGTCTGAACATGACACATTTACACCAGTGTTGTCTGCCCTTACACCAGAGGAGCAAACATACAGTCCACCATTGGTGTAATAGTTGAGGATGTTATAAAAAAGATGTAGGATGCCAGGAGAGTGCAGGATACTCCACCTGCTCTGTGTGAACTCAGGGCTGCTCAGATTCCAGCCAGGCACTTGGCCAGTTGGGAGAACCCAGTGCTGAGTCCCAATGGTGACCCCAAATCAAAGAGCCACATAAATTGTGTGGGTCTGAGGTGGTCCTATGTCCATCCCCCCTGCCCCTGACACCATAGCTTTCTCAAGAGGATAAGGGACCTGGGCTTTGAGCTCCTACCTGGTCTTAGGAAGGAAAGTTGAACCTTTTCGCTCTGTGCCTGGTGTGAAGTGTGGGCTCGGCTCTTGGAGGTTTCCAGTTAGGTGCTGAACCTGTACCTTTGTGCCTGGTATCCCCCCCACCACGTCTGTATCTCCAGCTGACAAATGCATCCAGAACGTCTACCGAGCCAAGGAGTACACTGGCATCCTGTCCACACTTTTAATGCAGGACAAGCTGCCCATTGATGACATCAAGGCCAGTGTGACAGAGATGATGGCAGGTGGGGTGGACACGGTAAGGCTGGGCTTTGAGGGTGAGGCAGCTTCATTGCTGTCAGGGTAAAGTATTCATAGTCATGATCAGGGATCCCACAGAAAAATGGGGAAAAACTGCGGATTTTCCCTTTTAACTGAGAAAAATGTGGATTTTTCATTTTAATGGAGAAACATGCAGATTTTCCACTTTTGCAAAGAGCTCTCTGCAGGCTGGCAGAGTTGTAGCTTGAGCCACGGATAGCTCGTCTGAGGGGCAGAGGGTGGAGCTGGCTCTCCACCACTGTGTTCACTCCCAGGGGCTTGCAGGGGGGGCACGTGCCCCCCAGATTTGTGCATGGGGTGGGGGCAGGCTGTCCACTGTGGGCTTGGGCTCCCTGCCCTGCTGCCTCTCCCTGGGGTCTCCATGGCCCAGCAGGCGGGACCCGGCACAGCAGGGCAGAGCATGGCGGGAAACTTGGTGCTGCTGCTGGGAGCCTTGCGCTGCCGTGGCAAAGCACCCCCTGCCCACCCAGCAGTACTGGCAGTGTAGGGTTGTGCCCCTTGCTGCTGCCGGGTAGGGGGTGCCTTACCAGGGCAGTGTGGGGCTCCCAATGGTGGCACTGAGCTTCTCCATCTGGCCCTGCTCTGCCCTGCTGCACTGGGTCCTGCCTGCTGGGCTGTGGAGGCCCTGTGGGGAGGGCAGTGGGGGGGGGGAGAACCCGCAGCCCACACTTGCTCTGTGCACAAATCTGGGGGCCACGTCCCCCCATTCCCCATCCTGGGAATGCACACAGCAGCAGGGAGCCAGCACCCCATCACCCTAGGCCACAGCGGGCAGCCTACACCCTCCCCCACCATGGGCTTTCCCTGGGAATCGGGCACTACTGTGTGGGGCAGGAGGCTGCAGACCTGGGTCCCTGACCCCATAGTCCTGGCAGCTGGGGGCCCCCTTCAGCAGGGTTAGGGGGGTGGGGGCTGTGGGTGGGGAGTGAGGGCCACTGGCAGGTCTTGGGGGCTGTGGCTTGAGAGTGAGGGGCCTGGACCTGCATCCTAGCGAGCTAAGGGGGCAGGGGGAGCTCTGATTTTCCATGATAAAACCCCCCAAATCAAATACCAACATTTATAGGTACTTAGAATTTATTTTATTATAGTGACTGAGGCACTGCTAGGCTTCCAAGTTGCTTAAAAATTGTAAAATTGTAATAAAGCATTGTGTTCAATAGGGCTGTGCGAAATTTTGCCTGCGGTTTCATTTTGACGCTGTTTCGACTCGTTTCAAGCTCAAAACAGCAAAATCAAAATGAAACAGAGAGCTTCAAAACAGCTTTGAAACAAAATGAGGGAAGTCGAAACGTTTTGAAAATTTCATGCCTGCAGGGCATGCCTGCAGGGAAACAGAAACTGAAGTAAGGAGGGGGAAGGACTGCTCTCATATTGACTGTGTAGCTGGCTAGTGACTGTCATCCTTCCCTGAGGTCCCTTCCAATCCCAGTGCTCTGGGGGAGGGTGGAAAAACTGTAAAGAAGGCAGCATTGTTTGAACTGCCCGGCTTTCTCCCTTGGGGTCAGCTGAGTGAGGGCGCACCTTAACACACACACAGTGTCACCCACCCATGACACGAATTTTGCCTGTTGGCAGCTAGAGGTGCAGGGCCCCAGAACCCCGAACCCCTGCACCGATCTCCTCCACAGCTGGCAGGCTTCATGGCCTCAGCAGGGGCTAGCAGGCCCGCAGCTTTCACCCTGCTGTGCCTTAACACACACAGTGTCACCCATGTCACGAGTTTCGCTTGTCCGCAGCTTGGGGTGCAGTTCCCCCCAAGTCCCTGCACCTATCTCCTTGAAACTTGGCAGGCTTCATGCCCTCAGAAAGGGCTACCATTACTGCAAGTTTCATCCAAATCAGCCCAGAAATGACAAGGTTATAGGCTGTTTCACGCTTCCCCATTATAGCCTACGGACAAAACATTGAAACAGCGTTGAAACAGCATCGAAACAGCAAAACTGTTTTGATGAAATAAAACAAAATAGCAGCTTTGAATTGAAAAGAAATTTGAAACCAAATGCTGTTCTGTTGAAATGTCGAAATGCAAGTCGAAACAGAACAGTGCCTTTTCACACAGCCCTAGTGTTCAATTGATACTTATAAACAGAGAACACCAGGATCCTTGGTCGTGATGGACCTGGCATTTCGCTAAGGGGTGCTGATGGAAGCTGTCTTAGATACTCCATGGCTCTGTGTGCGTGTGTGTGTGTGTGTGTGTGTGTGTGTGTGTGTGTGTGGCCACACTTGAAGTGGCTTCCCCCTCTGATATCCTAAGTGCCCCTGGCTAATCTTTCTATAATGATCTTCAGTGAGTAATGCCCATGATGTAGGAGCAGGGGAGGCTGAGAATGGCTTTGCAGGGCGGGGTTGCTGTCTAGGGCTGGGTACATAGGATGTGGAGTTTTATGGCACCTTTGACAGGGGAACCTCACTCCTGAGAGCTCTGGCATTTACCAGATCATTTCTACGGAGCCTTTTGTGTGAGCGTTCAATGTGAACTTAGCTACACAACTCCCTTGTGTACCAGGGAAACTGAGGCATAGGCAGGTGAAGTGACTTGTTTGGGGTCATCTAGAGGGTGGCAGGGCTGGGATCAAAGTCCGGCCATTTCTTAGCTCTAGGGCTTTCCCCTATCCCATTGCAGACCTCCATGACCCTCCAGTGGGCCATGTTCGAGCTGGCTCGCTCTCCAGGTGTGCAGGAGCAGCTGCGGACTGAGATCTTTGCAGCCAAGCAGGCAGCCCAGGGGGACATGCTGAAGATGCTGAAATCTGTCAAACTGCTCAAAGCTGCCATCAAGGAGACTCTCCGGTAAGTTGAATTTCCTTCCAGGATGTCCCATTCAGTTCCCCCATCCCTCCATCTTTGCAGTGAGCAAGAACAACCCCTTCACTGTGCAAATGCTTCCCTTCCCTCTCTCTATAGAAATCCAACCCAGTATTAGGGTCCTACAGCACCCCTCAGCATCTGAGCAGAGGAGCTGGGACTTTGTACCAGTGGGGAAAAATATTTCCCTCTAGTAGCTGATCCTCTTAAAAAAATTAACAGTCCACTGCACACTGGGCCTGGGAACACTGCTCCTTAACCCTGTATTCCTTACATGTGTGTACAAGTTATGATGGTGTCCAGAGTGGAGAGATGATCAGATTATTGGATTAAGTGATACAGTAAGTGCTATTACAGCACCTGCCCACCAAATGACAGAGGAACCAGTACTAGCTCCTTTGCTTTGAGAAGACAGCTACTGCAGCGGAGAAGCAGGCACAGAGCACCTACACCAGTGCTATTTCCTACTTGAACTTTTGGGGGGTAATTGTAGTGAGTTATACCAGTGTTGGGCTGCAAAAGAACAAACAACAACAAATATTAATGGTGCTATTCTTTTTAACCCTTTCTTGTGAGCCTGGCTCCAGCAATCAGTGGCCACTCATCAATGTTTGCACTGGTGGAATCTGCTTGAAACCAGAATTCGCTCTATCACAGTGAAGGGAGATGCGCTTAGAGGACTCGTGAGAAGTTCTCATAGCTTGATCAAATGCATAGCCAATATGTTGTATGTAGTGCAGGGAACAGAGATAGATGGTGCTCTTTTGAGGTGGTCTCCAGACACTTAAGGCAGGAACCTGTCCCTTTAACAGCGCTGGCTGTGTATGAGTTCATTCATCTAGGTGATGCCTACCGTACATGAATAATGAGTAAATTTCATCCTGACTCCCTCTCCTTGCCAGGCTCCATCCGGTGGCCATAACCCTTCAGAGATACACAACGCAAGAAATGGTCCTCCAGGATTACTGTATCCCTGCCAAGGTAAGCATTGCCTTGGGACTGCTCCATCTAGCCAGTGGCATTCCCATTGCTTGCATTACTGGGTGAGCTTTTGCTAACGTTTCATACATTTTAAGAGGGAAGAAGTCGGGTAGAGAGACGGCCCTTACATGTAGCAAAGATCTGGTCTCTCAAAGATCCCAACACATTTCTAAACCTGAAGACTCTGCTTAAGCATTGTTTTAAAACAACCCCAATGGTCAAACAAACTTACCTTAGGCTGGTCAATGGGGCCTGGGTCAGAGCTTGTAGTATGATGAGTACTCACTTTCATCAGCAGGTCCACGAAGGTCAATAGGCTTTCTTATGTGATCACTGCCACGAGGGAATGCCCCACACCTGAGCCCTGCCTGGATGTCCCTGTTTGGGGTGGTACCAATAAGCCTTATTTGGTCCTGCTGTGAGGCCACATCACTGTGAATGCAGAGAAACTCCACTGCAGCGATGAACTCTGGCATAGCTGCCATGAGGGATGCTAGAGAAGTGCTGCTGCTAGCATGCTCTTAACCTGTCCCTCTCCCCTGCAGACGCTGGTGCAGGTAGGGATATATGCAATGGGCCGTGACCCCAAGTTTTTCGTCAAGCCAGAGCAGTTCAACCCGGAGCGATGGCTGATGATGGAAACAAAATACTTCAAGGGGCTGGGCTTTGGCTTTGGACCACGCCAGTGTCTTGGTCGCAGGATTGCTGAGCTGGAGATGCAGCTCTTCTTGATCCATGTGAGTCTGGCTCCTTCCTTACTTGGCTGAACCCCAAAAATAACATCCTCCATTTCATTCCTGAGCTGTACCCCAGGCAGATGACAAGGAAGGAGTGTGGGTGGCTGCAGTTCATTTGGGAAAACAGTGGGACCCAAGTCCTTGGAACTCAGCTGGGTGCATGGTTTGAGCAAGGAAGGGTTACATGGTAGACCATTCACACAAGTGGGGCTGCAAGTTACCACAGGTGCATCAGATACACAAAGCTCCCCATAGTTACCCTGGGTTGTGAGAGGCTGCAGGCTTTCCATTCAGAGTTTTCAGAAGTTTAGCACAGTGTAGGTGCATCTACACATGCACAGTTACTGCACAGTAACTTAGGTGCCAAAAGTTACTGTGCCAGAAGTTACTGTGCAGTAGGGGCATGTGTCTACACGTGCATGCCCATACTGCACAATAACTATAGCAACTTACGCCAAGTTTGGCATAGATATGCTACCTGCATGATGCAGGTAGCAAATTTACACCTGCTTAGTTACTGCACAGTAAGGCACAGGTAGACACCTTACTGCACAGTAACAGTGTGTGTATGCTTCAACTTGGGAGTAACTTTACTCCCACGTCGGAGCGCACACAGTGCTACTGCGCTGTAACACCTATGTGTAGACACCGGTCAAAAAAACGCTTACTGCGTGGTAACTTACTGCGAGTAAATGCATGTGTAGACATGCCCTGTGAGATCCTTTTAATGGTGTCACAAGATAACATGCAATATTAGCCCTGTCAAGTGTGCAAACACATACATGGCGAAGGGTTTTTGAACTCGAAAGCTTGCTTAATAACTATTCTCCAACTATTTGGGTTGGTCTAATAAAAGATATCAAATTCACCCAAGGAACCTTGTCTGCCTATGTCCTTAGACCAACATGGCTACAACCTATACCCCTGCAAACACACACATATGATTCGTGAGATAAATCCATAGATTTCAAATAAGAATCCAGAGTGTCAAAACCATCCTGACCTGTTGCTTTCTGAGTTCTTGGCAACAATAATTGTTCTATTGTTTTTCCATATTCAAAACCTGAGTAAAAACGAATAGCTGGCACTTTCTGAGGGGTGCCTTGAATTTAACGAGGGGTGCCTGGTGTCAAGAAAGGCTGAAAAATAGTGGTTTTGCAACATTTGTGTGAGGTCATTTGAAATTTTCTATAAGATCATTGCCAAATTTATACTAGATAAAAGGGTTATTTCTCTGTGCCAGAAGTAGTGTGGCCCACTGAAAATAGTCTTAGTTTTTGAGCCTGGAGACCTGGGCTTCTAGTCCCAGCTCTGTTCATTGGTGCTCTTGATTGATTTATTTTCCCCGTGACTCAATTTCCTCATCTGTAAAATGGAAATAATCATACAAGCCAGTTGGGGAATTACCTGTCAGAATGAATCTCCAATAAAAAATGGCCTTTTCTGGTGGCAAGGGGGAGGAGGGAATCAACCGTTTTCCAGCAGGAAAACTTCATTTTTTTTATTGTTGCAACAGAACTTTTGAGTATTTCTGTCCAGTGGGGGAAAAAAAGTTATATTTTTTTCCCTTTTGTTCCTAACCAGGATGATTTTTTTCTGTGAAAACTTGGAATTTTCTACAGGGCAGAAAATGTCCCAGCCCTCTCTTCTCAAGGGTCTGTGCCTCACTTTGAGGTTTTGATATAAATAGTGAGATGAAAGGAAGCCGAGTCTAAGCTCAACTCTGCTCCATCACAGACTCCTGTGTGTTACTGCTCCTCAGCAGTATCCAGGTGCCTAAGTCCCACTGACATCAGGAGGATTTAGGGGCTTAAACGCCACTGGGAATCTGGATCTCTAGGATCCAGTTGTCTATCTGCATAACCAGGACTGTAGCACTTCCCAAGCTCCTGGGGGTGATGGGAGGATGCATCCACTAGGAGCCATGAGGTACTTGGATACTAGAGTAGGAGGCCATGCAAGGACTCTACCTTCAGGATGTCAGACTCGTCTCACACCCCAGGGCTGGCTCTGGCTCTGCAGGCCAGATCTGTGGGATGAGTGGCTGGTGCAATGGGGCCAGTGACTGGTAGAAACAAGTGAGCCACGTGGCTGTGGGGCAAGGGAGGCTGTGTTCACTGTTGATGGCCTTGTCCAACAAGGTCCCATGGCCAGAGGCATTGCAAGCTTCTTCAGCGCCTGGGGGGGAATAAGTATGTGTGTGGGGGAGGGGGGGGGTTATATTGACCACTGCGGGCTAAAAGAGAGACTTTTCTGCCAGGGCTTTCCTCACTTCATTGGCAGCTGTTGCTGCTGTTGGTTTAGTAGCACGGGAGAGGCTGCTGTCACTGGGGGCACACAGCACTGGGGGGGGCCCTGGAGCCCCACCAGCCCCCCATCCCTGGCAGCAGGGCTGAGCCTCCCATGGCAAAGCCCCTTGAGGGAAGGGATGTGCTTCCACCCCCTGCCAGATATGCTGCTGGGCATGGCACTGTCCCTGCCTGGCTGTGCCTGTCTGGCTCCCCACGGTTGGGTTTCGTGGGACTCTGCGAAACTTTTAGGGGTGGGTGGGGCATACTGGTAACCCCTCTAAGTTGGTTCCTGGGGCTGGTGCCCTTCTCACATCACCTTGGTTATGCTACCGCCCTTAGCCCTGGATTCGGCAGTAGTACCTCCCTAGCTAGCCCTGCCCCCAAATTCCCCAGTCCACCAGGAGCCCCAGGGGTTGGATGGAGCAGATCCAGCCCACAGCTGCCCCAGTCTTATTATAGGAGTAATATTCAATTGGACAAATTAGGATCCTACAAAATGAGCCTCATGTCATGAAGTTCCTTTTGGCCAGTGAGCCCCTTCATCCAGTGAAATGGGGCTTTACAATGCTGCCTTCCCAAGTTAGGCGTTCGGCTCATTTTCAGTCAGCTCAGAGAGGATTTATTTTACAGCACAATGCAAGAAAACAAGTAAAGGCAAAACCAGAATGGCACAAAGATCATCCCCAACTGATGCAGTGACATGGGTGCGTCTTGCCTAGCCTAAACCAGCATGCGGGGGTAGAGAGCAAACACCCAGCTGATGGGGATACATAGAGGGACCTGGAACGAACAACCAGTCCCAGGCTCAGCAGGGCTTCCCTTAGCTGCAGCCCAGAATTAAGGTCATGTTTCATAAGGGAGTTGCTGCCATTTGCCCTCTCCCCAGGAGGTCTTCCCTCATCACTGCAGGACCGGGTTCAGACTCTCCTTGGTCTTTCTTTCATAGTGTGTTTGGAGCTCAGTGAATTCTGGACCGCTCCCTCAGCCCTGCAAGCTCCTGCACTGGGGGAAATAGGCAACAGAGGTCCTTCCAGGGGAAGACACAGGTTAAAAAAGTGGCATGAAATGATTAGAGACGCAGGACTAGGTGGTGTCTGCTGGAAGGCCAGTGTCCACCCATCCGATGCTGTTTCACTTGGGGGAACTTTTGCTCTTCCAGCGCAGGCCAGGAGATGGCTATCAGAGCTGGAAGCTTGTACAGATGAGACTGTAGCCACCTCCCTACATGAACCTGCAGCTCTGCTCACCATCGATTTGTCTCTGGTTTTTCAGATGTTGGAGAACTTCAAGATAGAAACCAAGAGAGGATTGGAGATTGGGACCAAGTTTGACCTCATCCTGATCCCTGACAAGCCAATATACCTGACGTTACGGCCTCTCAGCGCCCATCTGTGAATGGAGCAGCAGCTGCCCTGACCAATTCTGTGACTAGGCTGGGGCAATAGGTGAGGGAGATACTGTCACTTGCCTGAAGCACAGCCCAGTCCTGTGGCAATCTGTAGCAGGACACAGCAGCAGCTCTGGTGCACCCCCCACCCTGGCCTGAGGTGTTCAAAGCATGGTTGAACCATTCATGAATTCAGTCTCACAGGCCCTCCTGGTAGTCAGTCATTATAGTTATCTCCATTTTACAGATGGTGAACTGGGGGATTCCAATGCAAGGTCACACACTTTCGTTTACAGGAAACTGAGACCAGACTTGGCTTCTGGTCACTGTGATTTGCAAGCCTCATGCTAATTTTGCTCAAATGTGGCCAGTTTCCAGTTACCGCCCAGAAGGGAGGTAATTAGATGACAAGTTTTTCTCCAGAGTGTCAGCTGTGGCAATCAGAGCCTGCTGTCTTCTATTCTGCTACCAGATTCAATTGGACCATAGTGTGTCCATTATGCCCTGACCTAGCTTAAAGCAACAGTGTGTGGTGTTTCTATTGCTGCTATGCAGCCCAAGTGGTAGAAATCAGAGCAAAAATTCTCCTGGTAACACCTTGATCCCCTGACTTCAATGGACTTGTAACTCCCTTCAGCAGCTGTGATGGTGGCTTTACAGACTGTAGTTGCATGCTATTGGGGATGAAATTTTATGACTACCTGATGTAGTAGGTGGGTATTACATTAAATCTTACCCCTGAGAGATCATTGTGGTTGTACAAGCTGTGATCAGTTATAACTCCAGTTCTGAAGGCCCAACAATAAGGAGACATTTATTACTGCTTGTTCCCAGCTTCTGAAATTGCTATCATGACACCGGTCAGAACCACTGAAACATCCACTGAACTTCCTACCATAACGTTCAAATGGACAGCACTTGCCTTATCAGTTCCATTTCAAAGGGGCTCATGTTGTCATGGGTGACTATTAAAATTCACGGGACTCAAGTTAAGAAATTAGCACTATACATGGTGTGTTGTTGGGGGAACGACATCTTTAGTTGTGGAGAAACAAGTCTCGGGTTGTTTCAAAGGTTGTCTTTTCTGCCCTGCGATGTTTGACAGGAGGTGGGACAGCTAGGGGTGATTGCCAGAACTGTGTTCAGGGTGAGTTAGCATTTCTCTTTATCTCTGGGATGTTGGAGAAGCTGTAGAATATTTCGTGTGACATAGGATGTGCTCGTGCTCCACACTCCACAAGAAGGATTCCCCCCACCTTCTTCTTTTTTTTTTTTTTTTTCCAATGCCAGCATCTCTAGTTCATATGTGAATTGTGGTGACTTCACATACAAATCAAGCACCAGGCAGCTCTTTCCTACTGGACTCCAGTGATCACACTGGGCAATCTCCAGGACACGTGTCCCAAAGCTGCCTTCCAGGTCTGTTTGCTGGTGATGGAACCAACCTGTACACCAGACTTTACCTTGGTTGCCTGCTTCTCTTCCTTAGCCCCTGTGACTGCCATGTCACTGACAAGTCTATTCTTTTGTCTATTTCTTTAATCCCTACCCTTAACTCTCCCTTATGGCTACAGCTTGAAATGTTCCTCCACGTCAGAGCAGGAGTATGGGAAAGACTATGACTGATGCACATTTAGGATCACAGGATCCTAGGAAGGTAGGGCTGGAAGGGATCTTACAACCTCATCTAGTCCAGCTCCCTGCTCAAGGATGGATAATCCCTGACTAAACCATCCCAGCCCAGTGCCCGTCCAACTTGCTCTTGAAAAACTGCCAGGGATAGAGATTCCACAACTTCTGTAGGCAGCCTGTCCCAATGCTTGATCACCCTCATGGTCAGGAAATTCTTCCTACTCTCCAACCTAAATTTCCCCTTCTGAAGCTTGAGGCCATTGCTTTCAGTCCTGTCTCTTATGGCCCATCTCCAAACTAAATTTCTTCTCATACAGCTCAAGGCCATTGCTCCTAATCCTATCCCCTACACTAGCCACAGTACAAGTTGATAGATGGCAACCCTACAGGTTGCCATTATCTTTTAGTGATGATTTTAAAAGCTCTTCAGCTCATTCCTGCCTCAGCTTCTCCTTTGAAGCACTGGTATTCTGCTAGGTTTACAAACCAGTAAAGGTCCCAGGAGGAGAAGGGGGAGGGGGAGCATCCATGGGGCACTTTCCTATAGCAGGGCCTGCACCGAGCAAGGCACAGGTAGCATCTAAGCTCAGAGAAGGGCAGGAGGCACCTATTACTGAGCCTTATCTACTCAGCTAGCAGCAGGCTGCAGGAACAGAAGTAGCAGCATGAGGGTTGCCACTTCAGCTACCACTGGGGATTGAAATGGGAGCCTCCAGAGCAAGAAGTTGCATGTGTCTGTACCTTGAGCTCAAGCTGGGAAGATGCTTGGAAGCGATCATGTAAGATGGACAGGAGAAAGGTGACCTAAGGGGGCAAGGGCTTCTCTGCAGGTGTCTCAGTCCCTGTCAAAGTAGCTGCTTTACAGCACTTATCACTGACTCTTGGCTTGGGTCAGATCTGGGCTTCATGGACAGGATTCTGTCTCTACTTCTGGGCAATGTAAGCATCTCCCTGGGCTCCAACAGGGACCCCTATGGCTGTCCAGTGCACAGGAACAGCACATGGAGGGGTAGGTGTTAAGCATTTAATAAAACTCTCCAGAAGACCCAGAGGGGTCGGCCTGCTGGAGACCGGCTGGAAAACCTCATAGTCTTTCATTTGTGAGACCAACAGGTCAATCTCACAAGAGGTGCTAGGGCAGAGGGTCGAGTGTCTGATGCCGCTTGTGATGCGTTGTGGGGTCTGATGAAGTCTTCTGTGAAGGAGAAGAGAGTCAATATGGGGGCATGTTCCTGAATGTCTACCCCTCTGTCTCCCCACCCCTTTTCAACCATGACATGGCCCTGTTTCAAAGTCCTTTGTATCCAACATGCTTCCCAAGGGCCAGTGTAAATACCACCAGAGACTGGCACTCATGCTCTAACAGCCGTGTCCTCACAGGGAGGAGTAGATGATGAGGTGATTTCCAAAAGCTGCTCAGTGACACACCAGAGGAGTTATGAACCCCAGGGCCGTAGTCAAGAGCAGCCCCCAGGAGAGGAGAATGAACCCACAACCCACCCGACCGCTCCATTCATTTTCACCCTTCTGCAGTAAGGGGGAGGAATCGGGCAGCTCAGAGAAAGGGGTCCCCTGGCTGAAGAGAGATGGAGCCTCAAGGTAAGGGGGCTAAGGGAGACGGTTGCTGCCTTCCAATAAATGCATGAGTCTCCAGAGGAAAAGCAATTACCCAGGGAATGAGCATGGAGGAGAATCAGAGATTAAGTCTGACCATCTATTTAAGCACCAAGAATTTGTGCTAAGAAGCAACTTCTGTGGTGTCGCATGGCTGGAGTCAACCCAGTAGCTCTGCTTGTGTCCCTTTTCCTCCTCCTTTGGTTAGTCCTCCCCCGCTTCCCCTCCTGAGAGAGGGTGGAGGGAGCATGCTCACAAGCTAATGCAGACCCTGAAGTTAGTGGTAGAGACATTCCCTGAGGTATTTCTTATGCCCTCAAGATGGCCCCGATCAGTACCTTGAAGGTTGCCTGTCTCAGGCATCAATTTTTGGCTAAAAGCTGGATGGTTGTTTTCCAAGATCAGAACCAGGGCTCCTATGCTAGCCAGGTGAGTCAGGGTTAGTGTCAAAGGTGCGTGTGTGAGTCCCTGGTAATTTGCGGGCATGTCACTCACCACTTGAAAGTCATGCGGGACAGGGGAGGGCAAGTGCCTGAAGCCATGCTCTAGCTCCATCAGCCGGTTGTTGAGTTCTTGCTTCTCTCGTCCCCACGTCCTTGCAGACTCCTCCAGCTGGGACAGAGAGAACAGACGTTCAGGGCATGGCATCAGCATAGCCCATTTCTTCTCTATCAAACTAGGGCTGCTTGAGTTGGTTCTTGAGTGGCCTTAACTGTAGCTGTTTTTCTAGCTCACTAATGCATGGGCCATTGGGAAACAAAGCAGGGCCCCTCATGCCAGCTCCCTCCCACATATCTCATCTGAGGTCATATGTTCTACACCTGGCTTGTTTCTATCCACATGCTGTCAACCCTGCTGGTGTGAGGGAGGCAGCATCTGCTTGGGGGGGATGGTACACTGCTCTGAGGTCCTTGGATTCAATCAATGCACTGCTAAGCAGATGCCTGCTCATTTAGGGACCTGCTCTCCTCCTGACTACAACCTTCTTCCTCTAGTCCTCTAGTGACTATGCACAGATGTCCCTGCCTGGTGGGTACATCTGCAGCCAGGTCCTGATGTTGCCCAAGAGGCTAGGCACAGGCTTGGGCTACGTCAAAACCCAACCATATCTGTTTGCATGACCAATGCCATGCAGTAAGCCTCAGCAGTGTGGCCCAAGGGTGAGGCTGGTCTTTGTTGCAGCTGGTCCATGACTGTGGAGTGGGCATGAAGTGGCTGCGGTGTTAGGACACCTCACTACAACTTCAGAGGACTGATTTTGAGCCATGCTTCAGACTGGTGCTGAAGGCTTCTTTAAGTGGACCCAGTAGTAACTGGGTATGTAGTCATATGGGCTGATGGACTCAAAGTCAAAGGCAGCTGCAAGTGCAATGCTGGCCACACTGCTCCCTTCTTGGCTGAAAATCTGGTGTGCATTAAACATGCAAGTCTGTTGGGCCACCTAGGCTCACATGAACATTTAACCTTGACTGTGGGACTCCCTCCCTTTCCCAACTGAACAGTGACTTATTACCCAGAGGGCCAGCTGGAAGAACCAACTGTGCCAATGACCAAACATAACAAACCATGCTCTCCTCCTGTCTCTGGAAAGGGCTGTGGTCTGTGTCTAGGCCACCCTTCTGGACTGAGGCAAACTGATGCTCCACTCATAGACTCAAGCGGTGATCATAGTATGTCATCTCCACAAGGGAAGCACCAGAACTTGGGGGATGGCTAAGGGGCAGGTCACCATCCAGCAATGTCATGCTCATTCATGGCCAAGGAGCATGCCCTGAGTGAGAAGGCATGAGGTTGGCCAGTAGTGTCTGGGAAAGGGCTTACTTGGCTTTCCAGGACATGAATATGAGTCTGAGCCTTCTCCAGCTTGGCCAGCAGGGATAACCTCTCCGAGTGGTCGTATATGTCCTGCTAAACAGAAATGCAGCTTAGTAAGAGCAGCTGAAAAGATAGCATGGGACTGGAAGGAGCTACCCCATGTCATCATATTCAGTCCCTTGGGCTCTCAGACAGTTGAGTCACAAATGCTTGCCCACATGACCATCCACGCCAACCCCTCCTGCACACCACAGCCATGAATTTCCCTCGACAAAACCCCAGACTGAGACAGCAAACAGGCACCTAGTTTTTGGTGGCTGAAGCAAAAAATAGCTCTGCTAATGCATAACAACACAATACCATGCTGTACTGCAGCAGTGTATGGAAGCTGCTGTTGAAACACACTACCCTAACATGCTAGGTGCTGTACAAACATGTCAGCCAAGCCCCAGAGGCACTTACAGCTCTTAAGAGCAACCAATCTGCCAGGTATGTGCAATGAGCTGCCACTGCTTGCTCCCAGGGCACCAGGCTCCAAACCCACCATGGGGGTGGCATAGCCCTGCATGCACGCATCTCACCGGCAAGGACTGCTGCTGCAGGATGATGGGGGAGGAGCAGTAATGGGATCTCCCCAGCTCCTCCTGCAACCTCAAGTTCTCGGTGAGCAGTGTTGTGTAGAGTCCCTTGGAGAAGGTCTTGCCTGGAAGGGGAGGAAGAGGAGAGGCAGCTCAGAAGGCAAGGAGAGGTGTGCTCTACTCTGTACTGTTAGGCATCTCGCTATGGCTCCAGAGGGATGACATTGAGCCTCACCCTTGACTCCTGGCACAGGCCACTCCATAGCTGATTCAGCTGTAAGCGGGCACCTGGTTGTGTGTGCTGGGGAGCCCATGGTAACTGAGTGCAGTGCTGTTCATAGCACCTTCTGGCATGCTGTTGGCTACATGAACCACACTCGACGGGTGGGCCACCTAGGTTTTTGCTAGGCCTTGGAATGACATCCTCTTGTCCTTCCTACCCAACTCCACCAGAATCAGAGGCTGTCCATGGAGGAGAGGGCAGTGGACCTTCCAGGGAGCTACTGGCTGTAGGATTTGGTCATTCATGGGGGATTTGGATTCCCTTTCTCTAGGTCTACTGGCATGGTGAGGAGCACCTGACTCCCACCTCCAGGTCAGGTGCTAAGCAGAGGAAGGCTGCTGGCAGCATGTGGCCCTTTCTGACTGGCTGCTGCACAGGGTCTCTGTGGTGCCTGTCTCAAGCTGCAACTTGTTTTTATCCTCTCAGTGGCCAGTCTTTCCCCACAGGCCTGGTTCCTGCAGCACAGCCCAACTCCCTCTTGGGCCCTGCGAAA